TTTCATTTAGTCTAAAGAGTCAGATTTCAAAAGCGCCAGCTTTTTCTCTCCTTTTGATCAAGGATTTTACTGAACACCTTTTGATCACTGTTGATAGGAATGCTTTTTTGTATGGTCTTGAATTTTTTTTTTTTTTTTTTTTTTTTTGTGAATTGAGTGATAGTTTGCATGGAAGAACATCAGTTTTACACCCATTGTTTCATTGCAGTTATTACAATCTCCTTCGTGCATCATCATTCAGCAGTATTTGCTTCTATTCCCTCTGTTTGTTTTTTGGGATGTACACAGAAACACTCAGGAATATATCATTCCCATAGGTTTTAATATAATAAGCTTTATGGAGATTTAAAGGAGTGCTGGTAGCATAGTGGATTATAAGCTGAGGTGCTAATTATAAGGTCAGAAGTTTGAATCTACCATTTGCTCCTCGGGAGGCAGATGAGGCTTTCTGCTCCTATAAAGATTTACAGCCTCGGAAAACCTAAACAGGGTCATTATGAGTCGGAACCAACTCAGTGGCATACAGCCACCACCACCACAACCATGGAAATTTAACTATGGAATGCACCAGAACAGCTTGTAAATGATAAAGGTGTTCGTACAATGCTATTGTGCAAACATGTCATTGCTGTTAAGTGACTGATATCTGTATAAGAATTATGAAGGCCTGAGATTAGGATTCCTACTTTTGTCAGTCTACTTCTACCATGTGACTATAGAGACTAAGTCAGTGTTGGAGTATACCACAGGACAATCTGGTGGTTTCTTTTAATGTCTTTCATTGGCTGGTAGTGAAAGAATAAAAGTTCCCTCTGTATATTTGTGCCTGAGACATTCATGGACTTAGAAGCACCAGGAGGGAAATCGATCTTGAATGTAGAATTTGCAAGGCTGTGTTTTCAAGTTATTTTCTTTGTTGGGTTATATGTTGTCCATATGGATATAAAATGGAAAACCAAAAGCACTCTATTGGTGTTTAGAAAGTTTGAGCAAACCTGTTGCTATCAAGTTGATTCCACTTATGACCCTATGGGTCAGAATAGAACTGTCACAGGCTGTAAATTTTTTTAAAGCGGTGTGCTGAGGAGGCAAGTTTTGTCCTTGATATGAAGAAACACCTTCCCTTTTGCTTGGAATTTTGGGCAACTTCATCCATAAGCAAAGGTGCATTTCATCAACTTGTAACAATTTGTGCTTGTTCCCTTTATCAAACTTGTTCTTCTTCATCTGATCAAGTTCTAGTCAGCAAGCCATCCAAGCTATGTCAAGTGGGGGCTATCTGCACATTTGAGAGTTCTTGCCCACCTCCTCCACTTCAGACCAGCTCTAGGACCAGCTGGCTGCTTCACTGTTAACTCTGTCCCCCAGTTGCTAGGTCAGTGTCTTTGGGCTCAGGTGTTTACATGGCTCCCTGGACTTCAAACCAGCCAGCCCTTCCTCCTCTCTCTCAAGGTCATCGGGTGTCTGTGGAGCATGGCTAAACTCATCCCGTGTCTACATTGCTGCATTTCCCCCACTTCCACTATCAGGGCAGTCACCAGCAAGCCAACAAGATGGTTCGTGTGTTCCGTTTGGGTTTCAATCTTAGATAGGGGTTTACTCTGATGAGTTGACTTTTCTTGCCTTGGTGGCTTCAAGGCAACCAGCTTGCTTGATAGTGTAACAGCCCAACAGTCTGCTTATTTTTTTTCCCCCTCACTCTTCTTTCTTTCAAGAAGTGTCTTCTGTTCCTCTAGCTGTTTTGGATTGGCCTGCATGTCTTTTCAGTTGGGAATGTCCCACCTCCGAAGGTTCTGCATGGGGCTCAGGATTCCACCTCAGACCCCATACTCCACTAAGGCTTAACAAGAAGCTTATTTTCCTGGGTACAGTCTAGTCTCCTTATAGATAATCCAGTCAGTTATAGGCTGAAGACAAGCTTTCTGTAACCATATTTTCCAATATTCCTTTCTCTCCCACATCAGTGTCTGTATTACAGTAGTAGGCAGAGGAAACCAATATCCACAATACAGTCAAGCAAGCACTTAGCATTATTTCCCCTCCTTTACTCATTCAGACTATGTCTCTATCTCTGTATCACACAAAGCCCTGCTGTTTGTAACATTGCATTTTGAGAGAGCTAGTACAGATACGGTATTCTTCCTCTAAAAAGGCACCATGAGAGTGTGAGGATACTGCTCTCTTTGTAGCCTTTGCTTTGATAATTGCCTTGGACACTGGTAGCTCATTTCACATTTTAGGGTGATTCACAATATGAGGAGGCCTCAAAAAGTTTGTGGGAAAATGCTGTTATCTTTTAATTCCATTTTTCCATAAATATTTTGAAGTCCTCTTATATAATCACAACCAATCCTGTTACATGTCAGAAGGATTTCTGGAAACACTCTTGTTGAGTGACTCATTTAGTCAGGGAGGACTCAAAGCTTTGGAGTTGGTGAATTGTCTGGAGTCTGGGAAGGAAATGATGCCAAATAGGCACAGATGTTTGTGCAAGTTTCTCTATGCAGCCTTTTGTAGAATATGAAGAAGACACAACTTAAACTTCTGACACCTTTCATAAGGGATTGTGATAATTAACTAGCATGCTATGTGGCCATTAGAAATAGTGTTCTTTAAACCTACTTAAGAATATGGAAAACTTTAATGTTTAGCTTGTTGTTGTGGTTGTTGTTGTTAAGTGCCTTCAAGTCGATTCCAACCCATAGTGACCCTGTATAGTATTTCCAAGGAGCAACTAGTGAGCTTGAACTGCTGACCTTGCAATTCAAACGGCTTTGCAGTTTGGTGCATTAGCCCACAGTGCCTCACCAGGACTCCTAATTTTTAGCTTAGAAAGCAAATAATAGAATTTTTGTTATTGTTAGGTGTCTTCGAGTTGGATCCTACTTCATAGTGACCCATATATAACAGAACTCCATCAAGCAGGCCTGGAGTAGAGTGACATGATGAGCCTGTGGCCACAACCTGGTGCCGGGTGTAGTGGCATGTTGTTTGGTCCTGCGTCATACTCACAGTTATGTTTGAGCTGATGGTTGAAGCCACTATATCATTTCATCCTGTTGTGGGTCTGTATCTTTTAAGCTGACCCTCTACAAGGCATGATGTCCTTTTCCCGGTATTGGTTCCTTCTGACAATATGTCCAAAGTCTGTGAGACTTAATCTCACCATCATAAAATAGGGTGTTGGATAAGATTCCATTGTTCTTAAGCAGTTGTGTAGAAAAAGAGACCAAAAGAACATGGTGGTGGTTATGTGCCATGGAGTCGGTTCAGACTCGTAGAAAACCCTGTACAGGGTTTCCAAGGCTGTAGATCTTTACAGGAGCAGAAAGCGTCATCTTTCTCCCACGGAACAGCTGGTAGTTTCTAACTGCTGACCTTGTGGTTCGCAGCCCAATTCATAACCACTACGCTAAGAACATACTCTAACATTAATGGACTATACTCTTTATTTTGAAAAATCTTTGTATTTCTCCAATGTTTTACACTGAATACTTACTACTTTAATAATGAGAAAGAATACCGATTCTTAGAAACAAAACAACATCAGCAGCAACAAAACCATTGTCAGAGGTCATGGCATGAGCAGAACCAGACACCTGGAGATGCTTTGGTCGAGTGGGACTGATTGTGAGCACAAATGTGCCACTCCACCCCTTGCCAGGTAGTGACCACAGGCTCATTGTACTCCTCTACTCCAGGCCTGCTTGATGGAGTTCAGAAGCCCTTATTTTGTCATCTTCAGCCAGAGAGCATGGCTACTGGTGAGGGGTTTGTCTTTCTCTGTGTATAACCATGCAGACCAAGTCACTATTTGCTTTGCCCTTGCCCCTGACGTCTCCTTTACTCTTGTATTGAGGTGCACCCATGCAGGCAGTAAGGGGAGAGGCAGGGCATAGGAAGGCGTAGCTATATCCTTGTCCTGGGATACATCATTCTCCTTCTCTGAACCTTATGAGTTGGGAGAAGAGTGGGTCTACTCTCTTATAAGGGGGGTGGTGTAGGAAGTACATCCAAAGAGAGAATGTATGTACCTGTAATTATTATCAGGTAATAAGCACTTTACTGCTAACCACAAGGATGGTGGTTCCAGCCCACCAGTTGCTCCTTAGAAACCCTTTACAGGGTGCTATGATTAGAACTGAGTCCACGACACTTAACAGCAACAGTGACGATACACAAACCAGAATTATTCTCCCATTGTCATATCGAAAGTGTTGTACCATCCTGTTCACTCCATTCAGCCTTTGTTGATGCCACTGCTCACTGGGGCTTGATCAGTCTGAGAGTTGACTCAAGAACACCTGGGTCCGGGGCCTGAGACTCCCCAGGATGGTAGGATGCGCCTTCAGGTGGACAGACAGGCATTTCTGACCACAGGGATGAGTGAATAATTGTTATTGTTAAGTACTATCATGTCATTTGACCCATAGCAACCCTGTATTAAGTTTTCCAAAACGCATCTGGTGAGCTTGAACTGCCGACCTTGACGTTTAAACTAGCTTTGCAGTCTAGTGCATTAACCCACAGTCCCAGGACTGAGTGAGTGGCGGAGTGTTGCAAATAGCAGAAGCAGAGAAGGGAGATGACCAAAGCAGCAGGGCTCTCAAAAGGACTCCCTTGGCAAGGGTCCCATGAGACCGAGAGCCCTATTGCACCTGGGGATTGCTGCTGAGGCATTAAACAGAAATGGCTGTCACTTTGATTTGCTAGTAGTAACCTGCCTGAGAATGGAAAGAGGACAAGAAATCCTAGTTCACAGCCCCACCCCTTTTTTTAAGGCACAGTTTTAATAAGTGCTTATGACCTATTTGACTTAGTATTCTAAACATTTGATAGTGTTCTAAAGAAAAGCTTAATAAACAAGAGATGTGCATCACTATCTTAGGCTTGTCTTGTAGCCCTGAGCCTGCAGAAATGTGCTGCCTCAAAGTGGGGCATTGGCTTTGCTGCTTTCTTTGCTAACAGTGCTCATGGTGGCCCTCTTCTTTTGCTTTCAGAAGTGACCAGGGAGGCACATTCTCTCTATGGGAAGGACGCTGTGGACACTTGGCAGGCTCGAGCCCGAGGTGGTGACCCTACCCAACTCCACGCAGTGAATGTGGCACAGCCTGTTCGCTTTAGCAGTAAGTTGCAGACCTGCCTACCTGTCTTGCCCTCCTTAGAGCAGCTGACCGTGTGCGTGTATGTGACTTCAGGCGTGCTTCTCCCATTCAGCTTGTGGTTCTACCAATGCCAGCAGTTCTAGAAATGGTAGCTCTGTGCCCTAAAACTATACTTTTATGAGTGAGGATGCAGGTAACCGTTCACAGTCAGCCAGCTGCTAGATAGCAGAGCTCTGGAGCCTGGCTGCTTGGCATTGACAAACCTACCACCTTTCAAAGCTGGACTGTACTAGCCTTTGGAAAGCCCATCGTTGGGTTGTTCCTGTTTACAAATTGGGGAGACAAGCTCCAAGAGGTGAGATGGTGGGCCCTCACCTGGAGCCATAGGGTATAGTGTTGCCTTAAACAAGTGGACCCAGACTTGAGTTCCCAGGCCCCTGTTTGGCCATGGGGTGGTTTCAGTTATTGATTATCAGGTCATAGATTGGGGGGGCCCTGTGACAGAGATATAAGCTCACCCCCACATCCCCCATCCTCTCGCCTGTTTACCCTGGTAGGGGACTGAGCAGTGGGGTCAGGCAGGAGAGAGAAAGCCCATCATTCTCAAACACAGTCCACTGTATGGATGACCTGAACCCCATTAATAGACCCACTCTAGCTGTGGTGTCCAGGCACTGACAGCTGCCTGTCTCTGATGCAAGGCACAGCCTATAGCAACTTCCCCAAGATACGTTTTGACTTCTCTTTCCTATGATCTAGTGAAGTTGGAGGGTGGGAATAGGTTCTTTCCTTCCTGTTGCCACAGCCCAAACCCCTACCCCAGCTGGATTTATAGTATGCAAGTGTATGTACACATCCTGCTGGGGTCTACATGAGCGTGCATCTTTTCTAGTGTATATGAAGTGTGTATGTAGACACCTGCAGGGTATGCATAGGTGTGTCCATCCCCCTTTTGGGGTACATGAATGTGTGTGTCCACCACTGTGAGAGGATGCTAGCATGTGTGCATATCTGCCAAGGTGCGAGAGTTCATATGCATGTTTACTGTGGGGTATGCAAGTTTGTGCATGCCTGCCAGAATATGCAAGCAGGAGACTTTCTGTTGCTCATCTTTGTCTTTTCAGCAGGTTATACTTCATTCTACTTAGGTAATATTTCCAGAGAATTGAAAAGAGAAAACAAAGGAGCCAGAAAAATATCATTTTCCCAGCTTCCGTTTTCCCTAACTACTCAGATTCTGTTCCCAGGAAGTTTCTTCTGGCCTTATTCCAAGCTGTCTGAAGAGCCTGGGATGGGAATCCAGTGCTGCCCCTCACTAGCTAAGCTGTTAGCTTATCCACACCATCGGGCCCTCACCTGAAATGGGGAGATGGGACAGAACCCCTGTGTATGGAGCATAGGAAATAAGCGAGAAATGCCACTGGTTCTGTGACCTCATTTTGTTTCTGTAAACTACAGTGAGATAACCAACCCTTCTCATTTCGTCTCCTTCCTTTACAGTCCCTCTGCCAGTGCAATCCTTGTATCTGTAAGGAAAGCACTTTCAAGTGGAATTCTTTGTTGAGCCTGACCTGACTTGTCATCAGGGGGCACTGTCTGCTTTCTGCTGTTGAAAGCAAAGCTGTGGACATGCCTCAGTGGCACTAGGCCCTGCTGCCATTGCATTTCTTACTGTCTCTGCACTTGTGTTAATAAGTTACAAACAAACATACATACACAGTGCTCATAACGGCTGTCTTTCAGAAATTTTTCTAGTTCCACAGAGTATAGATGTATTAAAAATGATTTTTTTATAACAACTGACTTTGCTAGAAATTTGGTTCTTTTTTATTGTACCATTAAGAAGTACCCAATATTTGGAGGGTACTATAAAATTGGTCATTAATCTCACCCTCTGATGCTAGAGGGGCAGGTTGAGATAGTGAAAAGACACCTGGACATTTGGATTGTTACCAGAAAGGAACCTTCTGGGCTTCAGTTTCTCATCAGTGGGAGATAGGAGCTGTCCACACAACCTCAGTGGGCCTTCCAACGCTGAGATAGTGAGCTCTGCCTTAGGGGAATGCTGGCCAATGCCCTACTGGAAATGCCTTCTTGCATGGAAAAAGAATTCCAGGGGTGAGACCAATCTGGGGCCTCAGCTCCAGGAGAGTGGGGCATTGGAGGGTGTATCTCAAGGGATGAGGGCCTACAGTCTTCCTGGCCAGGCTTAGTCCAAAAACAGACTCATGTCACAAGTTAGTTCAGCAGCCATTTACTGTTGCTGTTGTTAAGTGCCGTAGAGTCGGTTCCAACCCATAGCGCCCCTGTATAGGGTTTCCAAGGAGCAGCTGGTGAGCTTGAACCACCGACCTTGCAGTTCAAACGGCTTTGCAGTCTGGCGTATTAACCCACAGCGCCACACCAGGACTACCATGTAAATTAGAAGCCCTTGTTGAAAGAGAAAGAACCCTGGAAGTACAGTGATTAAGTACTGGGAAGGTCAGCAGTTCAAAGCCATTAGCTGCTCTGCAGGAGAAAGTTTGAGGCTGTCTGCTTCCATAAAGATTGGTAATGGTTGTGGTGTGCCATGGAGTCAATTCTGACTCATAATGACCCTGTATAGGGTTTCCGAGGCCGAAAGCCTCATCTTTCTCCCACGGAATGGCTGGTAGTTTTGTGAGAAACATTCGTTGTCCATACTGACAAATGCTCAAGAAATCCAATATGTATTCATTTTCATGAGAGTGAGGTTTTCTTTAATCAATTTTGCAAAATCAGGCATCCAACCCAGTAGACACTGCAGGTGTGATGCATGGCCAACTCGCAGAGTTTTATTCCCTTTCTCAAAAAAGCCCCTCCAGTACCCCTTTTACTGGGTATTATGGAGTTTATGGAAGGAGCTCTGATAGTATAGTGGTTACGAATCGGGCTGCTAATCTCACGGTCAGCAGTTCAAAACTACCAGCTGTTCCATGGGAGAAAGATGAGACTTTCTTGCTCCTGTAAAGATTTCCAGCCTTGAAAACCCTGTACAGGGTCACTATGAGTCGGAACCAACTCCATGGCACATAACAACAACAACATGGAGTTTATGGAGTCTTGGTGTGGCGCTGTGGGCTAATGCATCAGACTGCAAAGTCATTTGAACTGCAAGGTTGGTGGTTCAAGCTCACCAGATGCTCCTTGAAAACCCTACACAGGGTCGCTATGGGTTCAGAACCAACTCAGCACTCAAAGGCACTTAAACAACATCAACAACATGGAGTTTATAATCTACCCTAAGTGTCACTAGTCCTTGCTGTTAGGATTCTCATTTAAAGTTAGTTTCCCTCCTCCCTATGAACTTCCCCCATTTCCTTGATGGATGTATTCTTATTTTAAAATTTCTAGCCATTCAAACCAGTTTCTTCCTCCTTTTGTTACGCCTACTCTACCCACAAGATTCCCCTTAGTCCTGAAGATGGATCACCCCAAGAGCTATTTCTCACAGTTTCCAACTGCCGACCTTGATGTTAGCAGCCTGATTCTTAACCACTATACTACCCAGAGCTCCATAAAAATTGTTGTTGTTAGGTGCCATGGAGTCAGTACCGACTCATAGTGACCCTATGCACAACAGAACAAACACTGCCTGGTCCTGGGCCAACCTCATAATCGATACTACCCTTGAGCCCATTGATGCTGCTTGCCAATCTGTCTCGCTGGGGGTCTTCCTCTTTTTCTCTGACCCTCCATCTTAACCAAACATTGGTATCTGTGAGAAACACTGTCCATACTGAAAAACTCTCAAGTAATCCAATATGTACTCATTTTAGTGAAAGTGAGGTTTTCTTTATTCAGTTTTGCAAATTTGGGCGCCCAACCCAGTAGACACGGGCAGGCATGGCAGGTCACAAACAGTTTTTATATTCTCCTATGTCCAAAGGAGTTCTGGCAGCATAATTGGTTACGAATCAGACTGTGAACTGCAAGGTCAGCAGCTCAAAACTACCGGCTGTTTCGTGGGAGAAAGATGAGGCTTTCTGCTCCCGAAAAGATTTACAGCCTTGGAAACTCTGTACAGAGTTGCTATGAGTTGGTTCTGACTCCACAGCACATAACCACCACCACCATACAGGTTAAATAAGTATGGTGAAAGAATACAACCCTGTCATACACCTTTCCTAATTTTAAACTGTTTGGTATTCCCATCTTGTTGGAACAACTACCTCTTAGTCTATGTACAGGTTCATCATGAGCATAATTAAGTGTTCCGTAATACTCATACTTCGCAATGTTGTCCATAACTTGTCATGATCTATACAATCAAAAGCCTTTGTGTAGTCAGTAAAGCACAGGTAAACATCTTTGACATCCTCTTCTGAATCCGACTTGAATCTCTGAAAGTTCTCTGTCAATGTATGGTGCAGCCATTTTTGTATTACCTTTAGTAAAACTTTACTCGCAGAGGATTATCAATGATATTGTCTGATGATTTCCGCATTCTTTTGGGTTACCTCTCTTTGGATTGGACACAAATACATATCTCTTGCAATCACTTGGGCAGGTAGTTGTCTTCCAAATTTCCTGACATAGATGAGTGAGTGTTTCCAGTGCCACTTTACTTTGTTGAAAGAGTTCAATTTATATTCCATTAATTCCCGGTGCCTTATTCTTTGCCAATGCTTTCAGTGCACCTTGGACTTCTTCCTTCAGGGTCATTGGTTGTTGATCATCTTGAGATGATTGAACATCGACCATTTCCTTTTGGTACAGTAACTGTGTTTTCCTTCCATCTTCTTTTGATGCTTTCTGCATCATTCAGTAATTTGCCCAGAGAATCCTTCAAGAATGAAAGCCAAGGCTTGAATTTTTTTCACTTCCCTCAGCTTGAGAAAAGCTGAGTGAGAGCTTCCTTTTTGGTTCTCTAACTCCAGATCTTTGCACATTTTGTTACAACATTTGACTTTATCTTCTTGAGCAGACCTTTGAAATTTTCTGTTAAGCTCCTGTACCTCCTCATTTCTTCCATTTGCTTTATCATCTCTACATTGGAGACCAAGTTTCAGAGTCTCCTCTGGCATCCATTTTGATCTTTTCCTTCTTTCTTGTTGTCTTAATGACTTTTTGCTTTCTTTCTGTATGATGTTATTGATGTCATCCCACAACTCTTCTGGTCTTGGGTTTTTAGTGTCTAATGTATCAAATATTTTCTTCAGATAGTCTCTAAATTCAGGTGGGATGTGTTTAAGGTCGTATTTTGGCTCTCGTGGATTTGTTTACATTTTCTTCAGCTTCAGTCTGAATTTGCATATGAGCAATTGATGGTCTGTTCCACAATCTGCCCCGGCTTTGTTTTGGCTGATGATATGGAGCTTTTCCACCGTTTCTTTTCCCAGAGGTAGTCAAGTTAATTTCTGTCTACTCCATCTGGTGAGGTCTGTGTGCATAAGTTGTCTTTTATGTTGTTTAAAAAAGATATTTGAAATGCACAAATTATTGATTTTGAAGAATTCTATCATGCAATCTCCAGCATCATTTTTATCACTAAGGCCATGTTTTCCAACTACTGATCCTTCCTCTTTGTTTCCAACCTTTGCATTCCAGTCACCAGTGATTATCAATATATCCTGATTGTATGTTTAATCAGTTTCATACTAAAGAAGTAGTTGGTGGTGGTGGTTATGTGCTGTGGAGTCGGAACCAACTCATAGCGACCCTGTACAGGGTTTCCAAGGCTATAAATGTTTACGGGAACGAAAAGCCTCATCTTTCTTCCACAGAACAGCTGTAGTTTCAAACTGCTGACCTTGCAGTTCGCAGCCTGATTCGTAACCACTACTCTACCAGAGCTCCTTAAAGAAGTTGGTAGAAGTCTTCAATTTCATCCTCACAGGCTTTAGTGGTTGGTGCGTAAAATTGAATAACAATGGCATTAACTAGCCTCCCTGTAGATCCTTCAATTTTATCCTAACACAGACAGCATTGTACATCATGACAGATCTTGATAATGTTCTTTCAGACAATGAATGTGATGCCATTTCTCTTCAAATTGTCATTCCCAGCATAGCAACCATGTGATTGTCATATTCAAAATGGCCAACACCAGTCCATTTCAGCTTACTAATGCCTAAGATATCGATGTTTATGCATTCTATTTTATTTTTTTTAACTTTTATTTTTCTTAGATTCATACTTCATACATGCCATGTCCTGATTATTAATGGATATTTACAGCTGTTTTGCTTCATTTTGAGTTGTGCCCCATCAGCAAATGAAGGTCCCGAGGGCTTTACTCCAGTTGTTTGTCATCATGGTCAACTCTTTGAGAAAGTAGCTCTTCTCCAGTCACATTTTGAGTGTCTTCCAACCTAAGGGGCACATTTTCTGGCACTCTATCTGACAGTGTTTCACTGCCATTTATAAGGTTTCAGTGGCTATTCGGAATTAGTTCATCTCTCATTCTTCCTTGTCTGTCTTCATCTGGAATCTCATCTGGAACCTTTGCACTATAAGTGACTCTGCTGATATTTAAAATCCTGGTGGGATAGCTTCCAGAGTCACAACAACTCACAAGCGACCACAGTACAATAAACTGACAGATGAGTGAGTGGTGGCTATGAAGATTACAACCTTGAAAACCCTATGGAGCAGTTCTTACTCTGTCCTGTAAGACAGTCATGAGTCGGAATCCACCGACTAGCATTATGTTGTGGGTATAAAAATATAAACAATTTTCAAATATACTTATACCTTGTTGTTGTTAATTGATGTCGAGTCGGTTCTGACCCATAGTGACCCTGTAGTGTTTCTGAGAAGTGGCTGGTGAGCTTGAACAGCCAACTTTGCAGTTCAGACCGGCTTTGCAGTCCAGCACATTAACCCACAGCACCACAACAGGACTCCTTGACTATGTGATTTAGAGAAACTTGAATGGTTCTACAAAGTACGAGGAGGCTTCCAAAAATTTGTGGGGGATATTCCATTATCCTTCCATCCCAGTTTTCCAAGAACTTCTAGAAGTCTCTTAATGTATCGTCTTAGAAGGAGAAGCTTTACCTCCGGAGCCTCCAGTTTCCCATTTCTCTGATGTGATTTCTAAGGTATGCCTGTTCCTGATGCAGCATATATCATTTCAGTTTTGTAGTCAAGATTCTAATTTGGGGAACACTTCCCCTTTGTCCTTCATGTTTCCTAGGGAAGTGCCCAACTGGCTGGCACCATTATGAAGGCACGGCCAGCTGCTACAGAGTCTATCTGAGTGGAGAGAACTACTGGGACGCAGCGCAGACCTGCCAGCGAGTAAACGGCTCCCTGGCCACCTTCTCCACTGATCAGGAGCTACGCTTTGTCCTGGCCCAGGAATGGGACCAGCCAGAGCGGAGCTTCGGGTGGAAGGACCAACGCAAGTGAGTCCTAGGCTAGAGACCCAAGGGTCTTGGGGACCAACTGAGTACAGGACTATCACTGGATTACAATGTTTCCAAGTCTGTCTTTAAATCAAATTTGTATATAAGTCATTCCGTTAGGTACAGTACATATCTAATGTCAGTCAAATGTTTGTCTTCATATATACCGTACTTTTCTATGAATGAAAAATGTTGAAGAAACACTTCCAGATACACAAAAATATCCCTAACATTGTTGTTAAGTGTTGTCGAGTCAGTCCCAACTCATAGTGACCCTGTATAGGGTTTCTGGGGAGCGACTGGTAAGTTTGACTCCCAATCTTGCTATTCAAACTGATCTTACAGTCCAGAGCATTAACCTACAGTGCTACATCAGGGCTCCATCCTTAACATAATAATATAGTAATAATAATAATGGTTTGATGTGTGTTGAAAAATAGTGCCCTTTGATTTTTATAAGCCATTGTATAGTCTTCAGATTTTAAATATAATAGGCTTTATTGAAGTTGATTTGTAAATTGAACCTTGGTAACACAAGGACTACTTGTGCCTGCCATTTGGTCCCCTGCTATATGCCTAATGCATAGGTGGTGGCCACCATTTGATGGCCGGCACCTGGCTGACATTGACTGTGATGCTGGGGGTCAGGCACACACTTTGCTGTGTTGCTTCACAGGACCTGTTTTTCTAATTGATTCAGTTTATATACCATGAAACCCATCCTCTTAAAGTGTGTACTTCAGTGGGTTTTAGTGTATTCATGAAGAAGGGACTTCAAAAAGCTTGTGGAAAATTCTGATTTTTACCACAAACTTTTGAACCTCTCATATTCACAGGACCTGATGTCTACCATGGCTGGTCTTGCATTAAGTATTAAAGCTTTATTGAAACAATGAAATAAAAACCTTTTGTGACATGAATCTAGTGTTTAGAATTTTGAGAACTTTGTAAAGCATTAATGTTTCAGAATTTTGGCATTTAATGGTCAGTGTAACTATTAACCACATGCTTATGGAATCATTGAGATCATCCAACTATGACAACTATCTCTCCTGTTTCTGCCTCCTGGTGCAGGTTGTGGGTTGGCTATCAGTACGTCATCACCAGCCGGAACCGCTCCTTAGAGGGTCGCTGGGAGGTAGCATTCAAAGGTAAGCCTTTCTCATCTACAAAAGTGTTGTTGAGCTTGAAAAACTGGGATCATTGTGCTTACTAGGGGTATTCTGCCATTCCTGGAGAAGGACATCCTGTTCTGTTATATATAAGGTCTCTATGAGTCATAGCCCGCTAGACAGCACTTAAAAAGAGCACCAACAAATTGTTGGCTTGTTTTCCTGACCCCAGAAGTTAGCTGCTGGCCCTCAGGACAGTATAGACACTCCTATTGTTGTTATACAGGGTCGCTATGGATCGGAATGGACTCGATGGCACTTAACAACAACAACAACAACAGTTGTTGTTATTAGGTGCTGTCAAGTCAATTCCGACCCATAGCAACCCTGTACAGGGTTTCCAAGGAGCACTGGTGAGCTTGAACCACCGACCTTGCAGACACTCCTATACATGACTGTATTCTTGATACGGACGGAGGGTTAAGGAAATAACATCTGTGTGCATGGAATGATAGCCTGTTCTGAATTGAGGCACTCAGGACCCTCACTCTGGTCTGAGAATGGCCAGGGTCCTGATAGGTACTTAGGCATCAGACACTTGTCCCGGTGGCTCCATTGGAGTTTTAGAGGAAAGTGAATCTGAACTTTAGAGAGAGACTCACCTCTGACTTTGTCAGTGCTGATGGTCATGACTGATGTCATAACCTGTACATGGCCCAGTATGGTCTCAAGACTGGAGTGGTGGCATCCCACATGTTAGGTGCTGAGGTGGCACACGAGTGCTTGGCATATCAGTGAGGGTTTCAGTGTGATGTTGTTGGCGTTAAGTGCTGTTACGTTGATTCCGACCCATAGTGACTCTGTATAGGGTTTCCAAGGAGCAGCTGGTGAGCTTGAACCACTGACTTTTCAGTTCAAATGACTTTGCAGTCTGACGCGTTAGCCCACAGCACCACACCAGGACTGTTGGCATAGGCCTGATTAAATGGACTTGGGAATTAAGTTGTTTGCATTAATTCACAGTCACAAGATGAGTAAGTAGCTTAAAAGAGATTTCCTTACTACAATGTAACTGGCCCGGACTGGTCACACACAGCTCAGTAACGTGAGTTACACTGGATGTGAGAAAATTAAAGAGAAAGAGAAAATCAAATGTAATAACATGAGTGTTGGTGCCTCTCTCAACTCACATCTTTACCCACTCTTAGGCCCCATCCTAAGGTGCTGAGACCCTGAGACTTTGACTTCGCTGGGTCCTTGTGTGCTTTGGAGGCCAAGAGCTGCTGTCCTTAGAGAATTCATTATTTTTATAATGTTTGTAAATGATGGCAGAATGTGTGGAAAACAGATCTTTGTGTCTAGAGAATCATTCACATTTTCCACGTGTTGCCACCACGCCCCAAGTAAGATCATTACTACTAATGGTGTTTGTAATGGGTACTGTTATATTTTACTTGCTTGTGATTTGGAAGACAGTAGACTGACTGTTTTTCCATAATGTAATAATGTAAACACCTCCATGATGTTATCTGATTGATCAGGCAATCATAAGAGGTGTTTCTTGGGAGCGTGGCCTGCATACAATTTATATATGGACAATTGGCAAAGCTCTCTTGCTCCCTCTGGATCCTGTATATGACTTGTCATCATCGTCTGATCTTTGGTTCTTGGAACATGAGGCAGCAGCCTGCTGTTTGACCTGCCAATTTTGAGTTCACCCACCACTGCAAACGTGTGTCAAGAGAAACTTCTATCCATTCTGACACCTGACTAACAGATTTGGTATACTCATCAGTTTCCACACCTGTGCAAACCATTTCCTTGATCAAATTTCTTTGTATTCGATCTCTCTATATGTGTGTCACTGGTTTTGCTATTCTAGAGAACCCAGGGAGCAGAGGTAGGAGTGGCTGCTCTGAGGGATGCACAGAAGACAGGTGGCAGAGCACATCAGGTGGTGTTGCAAATATTCTTGCATGCACAGCTGTGACTGGGATGAGCGTGGAAGCTCAGAGCAGAACAGGTCTAGCTAGTGGCACACTTCAGATCCCTGGCTCAGCCACTGTGCACAGGAAAAATGAAATAGGTGTCTGAAGACTGTTGCCGCACCTCATCAAGCTGAGAACCCAATCCACCTCGGGTAATGCCTGGAGAGGAGGGGACATCTGTGGAGGAGGTTTGCAAGTAGGTGTCTGTAGGTGAGTGTTGGTTTATAGCTCTGTTTGTGAAGCCTTTCTTTAAGGAGGAAATAATCCACGAATATAGGAGAACATACAGAGGCAAGAGGCGCATTAGTTCTACAAGGTGTGTGGTTTAAGCCCACCAGCCACAACAAAGCAATAACTTTCTGCTCTCTTGAAGAATAAAGCCTTAGAAACCCTATACAGGGTCACTATGAGTCGGAACCAACTCAAAGGCGCACTTAACAACAACAGCAGAGGGCAAAGTCAAGAAAACTTAGCTGAAACCAAACACCTTGAAGAGGGAATGAGTTATACCTGGGAGGCTAAGGACCATATATGGTCTCAGGGAACATCAAGGTCAATTGGGTGGGTAGACATTGTCCACAAAGAATATGCTCAGCATTCTACTTTGGGTAACAACTAGGAGCTTTATAAACTTGTGAGTGGTCATCTAAGGTGCAGCTATTTGTCACTCCTCATCCAGAGCAAAGAAGAGTGAAAAAAAATCAAAGACATGTGGGAACAAGTGAGTCCAAAGGACTAATATACCACCCAAACCTAGTCTCCATGAACCTGAGAGTAGAACTAGGTCGTACCTGGCTACCACTGCTGACTGCTCTGAAAAAAGATTACAATAGGAAGTCTTGGATAGAATGGGAGAAAAATGTGGAACAAAACTCAAAACCATAAAAAAAGGCCAGGCTCATTGTTCTCATGGAGACTGGTGGAACCTCTAAGACTGACCAGGCCTGGAACTGAACTCACCCCAGTGGCTCAATTTTCAACCAAATAGTAGGCCTATAAAGTGATTAATAATACTGAGAAAGTATTCACTGCTTTGAATAGTCAACCATTTTAGATCAAAAGGGCAGCATTTGTCTAGGGATAATGCTCAGAAAATAGGAAAGGAAAGGGAAGACAGACAAATAGAAATAGTAAACACGGAGGAGGTAGAAAGAGTGCTATTGCGTTGTGAGAATTGCAATTGCAAATTGCAACATGTGTATAAATTGAACTGTAGCAATATGGCAGAGTAAGCAGACACCATAAGCAGGCCCTCTTCAACAAAGACATGGGAAACCAAATGAAACAGATAAAGATGGTGACCCTGGAACTCTGAACTTTAGAGGAAATAGAAAAGATAGATGGATTGAGTGCCAACTGGAAGAGGAAGGTAAACAGGAGTAGCGAGAGAGAATTAAAAATGAGTGGACTGTTGCTGGCAGGGAACAGTGTGGTCATCTTGAGGTTTTGTGAATCACTGTCAATAAAGCAGCCTCCAGGCACAGGACATGGCTGGAGGTTGTAGTCAAGGAATGGGTGCAGTTCTTCCATGTTCCATGCCCTCCTGGTAGCCCAGGATGTGGCCAGTCCTTACCCTCACAAGCCTATTGGCCATGACATCTTCTCTTGCCTGAGGTCAAACATCGAGAGTGCTACCTGCTTCTGGAGGTCTGTGAACCCACCCTTGAACCTACACTACAAAAACTGTGAACAGAATTATGTTCACACTTCCACTCTCTATCACATCTATCAGGAGACAGGTGGTGAACATGGAATCATTAATTAACTAAATGCAATGAAACCCACAGTGTTTCAGAGAAACCAGTTTCAGCTAACATGGAAAACAGAGTGCCTCAAAAAAGGGACCAAAATATAATCAGAAAATATAATATCAGAAATGGTCTATAGAATTTATATGTATAAGTACACTGTATATAGAATTTTAAAAGAATAATATTTAGGTACTTTCAGCATATATAGAGTTAGGAGAACACAGGAAAAACCTTAGACGAATTCAGAAAAATCAAAAGAACAAACTGACAAAATACATGAAAAATTGGAAACCATACAAAAACAAGAATTAGAAAGCCAGAATATTAATACTAAGACTTCAGAAAACATACAGAAATGGCAAAGAAGAACTGAACCAGAGGGCAAATTACTGAGCTTGAAGACAGTCTTTCAATATTCATCTGCTAAAGAAACAATCTGGGAGTCCTAGTGTGGCGCTGTGGGTTAACGCACCAGACTGTAAAGCCGTTTGAACTGCAAGGTCGGCAGTTCAAGCTCACCAGCTGCTCCTCGGAAACCCTGTTAGCTATGGGTCGGAACCGACTCGATGGCACTTAACAACAACAACAAAGAATCTGGTGTGGCACTGGAGGATAAATGTGGTGGTGGTTATGTGCCGTGGAGTTGGTTCTGACTCATAACGACCTTGTATAGGGTTTCCGAGGCTGTAAATCTTTACAGGAGTAGAAAGCCTCATCTTTTTCTCGCAGAACCACTGGTAGTTTCTCACTGCTGACCTTGAGGTTAGCAGCCCTACTCATAACCACTATGCTACCAGAGCTCCTTGAAGGATAAGTACTAGACTGCTAACAGCAAGGTCAGCAGTTCAAACTCACCAGCTGCTCCTTAGAAACCTTATGGAGTCAATAAAAGTAAGAACAGACTCAATGGTACTCAACAACAACAACAGCAAAGAAATAATCATTAAAAAAAGGAAAAACAAAGAAAGCCTATGATTTATGTTAGATACTATCAACACAAATAACTTGGCTGTGATTAGAATTCCAGAACAGGAGACAAAAAAATACCATAGAAAAAATGAAAGATGAGGAGATGGCTACTCAAGAAGTTAAATGAAACCCAAACAGGATAGACTCTAAAAGAAAGTCACCAAGACAATACTATATGATCAATTTTTTTTTAAACCAAGGACAAGGAAAGAATCCTGAGAGCAGTTCAGGTAAAACAAACAGTACCTTCCTACAAAAGAGAACTAATAAGACTAAGCTCTACACTATTTACAATAGCAAAGAGATGGAGACAGCCAAAGTGCCCATCAAC